TTTCAATTGGGACGAAGTGAACATCAGAACAAATGACGCTGCTGAAGACGTGTCACCTGAAAAAGCCACTGTCGAAGGAGGAACTCTACTCGGTTTTGAGAAGGGAAACAGCGAAGCCCTTGATGAAGTTACTACCACTGGTGTGACTGTTACCAATAATAGGACGTTTCCTGATGAAGCAGATGAACCCCACATGAAGCAGAAGTCAACGAGACGGAGACCAGTACGGAAGAAGATACGTCCGGTAAAATTAAGAGACTTTGTTGAATTTTAGTTTTGTGTTTGTAAATTCTGTTCATTTAATTAAGTTATTGTTAATTGTTTATTGATTTAATGTAAGTGGCTATTGTTCGGGACGAAGAATACTAAGGAGGGAAAAGTGTTATGACAGCGGAAGTCACGTGATGCTGCTGGCGCATTGGCACTGGTGGCATGCTTGATGGTTTCTCGAATGATCGGGGAAGTCCGAGTGTGTTCGAGATGCCCTCTTCGTTAGTATGTAAGCCTGGCAGAGAAAGTCAGGATAGATAAATGAAGATAGAACAGTAGTTACTCTATGATTATCTTAATTTCGAGCTAGTGAGCCGTAAAATGTGTGTTTTGCACTCGTCGAGAGCAAAATTATCGAGATTGTGAATCGCTGTGATTTATAGCGTGAATTATAAAAGTTGTTAAGTTTAAAGTGACGAGAAACATACTGATTGTGGAACTACTGTTTACTAAAAGTTTGTGTCGAGGAAGAATAAACTGGTTTAATCAAGAAAGGACTTGTACTGCTGAAGATCCTCGGAAAGAGTTTCTACCGGAAACAAGCAAATACGCAACAATAACAAGCACACTGTACTTTCCAATAATACCACTCAGGTCAGTTATCATATTTAACTTCATGTTGTAAATCCGTTATTTCTATTCACATGTGAATTCATAATTGTGTTTTTATGCACTCGATTAATTCGTGTGATACAACACTCATAAATAATTTCTTGAAATTTTAAATAAACATTATAATGCTACAATAAGATAGAAACACGTGGTATATATATATATATATCCATAAATTGAACTGATAATTTTTCTTTCACTCCTGTTAATAATATTTTCTGTTGTTCATTGCTTATATTCGTTTATTTGACCTAATTAAAGATAATTTGACAATGTGAACAGATGGTTTGATCTTGAAAAATTCCATAATAAGCTAAATATAGTTTAATCTTAATGATGCCAACAAGATTAGCGCAAGGTAGCGTTTTTGTTCTCTTATTCAGTTATTGTAGGAATAATGGGTTTTAAGGGTGAATTATAAATAACTGATAAACAATTTTTAAACTTGTATCAGTAATTTTAATTTCAGGGAATTCGTAGTTTGATTATTTCAGAATTTTATGAATATATCATAGCGCAAAATATTTTAAAGTAATTAAAATACATTAATTCGGAAATCAAGCTGACATACAACGAGGGTTAACTGTTACTGTTGAGGATTTCAGCTTCAAAATCAAAGATCGAGTCTGTTTCGGTACTTGTACAAAATTTAAGTAGGCTTATGTTATTTGCGTAGTCTTTCAAAATTTGAATTTCATCAAATATACGTTAGCAAACTTACTAATAGGCTTATGGGTATACTTTAAACTTATTTTTGTATGGTGTTTTAATTCATACTTCTTAGCCTTAGTAACTTTGGTTTTGGTAAGAAGTTTAGTTGTATCTTGTTATTGTATCAGCAATGCCTAAATCAAGAAGTAGAAGCAAAAGTCCAAGACACAGAAGATTAAAACATAAAAATCGTAAGCGCTCACAATCAAGAGAAAGAAGTAACAAAGTGAAAAAAAGATCAAGATCACGTTCAGCTGATAAGATTTCGAAGTCCAGGTAAACTTTATTATTATGAATAATATTTATATTTTATATCAGTTTTAATATACAAAATTGTAAACTACTACAGCCATATAATCATCAGTTGTCTCACTAGACAAGAAGCAGCAAGACACTTTTAGTAAAAGTAGCAGCTTTAAAACAATCTAAAAGTTCGATGATTTGAATTTTGAAATATTTAAGGATATGAAACTTGAGCACTAGCATTATACGTTTGTAATAGACTAAAGAATTATGATAACTCAAGAGATCTACCATATGCATAAAGGGACTTAACTACATTTAGTAGTGATAAAAATTGAACTTTATTATATAACTTTTTAAGATTTTTACTGACTCTTTGTTTAAAATTAAAGATTTTTTCAGTGCAATGAATTTTTTACTCTTGCTCATTGGCTTTACTACATTAAATTTGTGTTGCTGTTAGTGTTAGCCCCAGTTGCATGGGCCCTTCCAACTTTGATAAGAATCATCGGCACCCAGAGCTTTAGTATATGGAAAATGTATAATATGTAGTTTTTATATAGCAATAATAAGTGCTGTCAAACCAGTGAGCTATTTACTTTATTGTTGACTGTATTTAGTATGATCCAAATATAGTTATTGAACTCTGGTCTGCTGTAGTTTCATATCCTTAAATATATCAAATATTTTTATTGTTTTCAGGTAAATTACATTGTTTGGGAGCTATTAGTTTCTCATGTCATTGTTTTTTATTTTTTTGCTTAAAAGTTAAATAAGTCTTGATTCTTGTTACTAACTAGTGAAACCCTTTTAAAGAATGATAATTACATATTTTACTTGAGAAAATATTTAAAAACAAGATATCTTCTTACATCCAAGAGAAAGAAGTACCAAACTGAAAATAATGTGATCATATTTAACTGAAAAAATTTCCAGTTCTAGGCATATAATTTTGTTTTGTATTTATTCATAATATTAGTTTAATGTCTGTAGTTAAGCAGTTCATTTAGTCATAGGCTTTGATACAGTTACATCTTTTTAATCCAAAAAATGCTTGACATCCATTCTTTTTCTGTTTTTGTTTTCTATGGCTGAGGTTTGAAGTTTTTAATTCAACTAATTAGTTATAGGAAATGTAATGTTGTGTTAGTTATTGATTTGCTGATGTGATTGAAAGTATAATACATATAAAAACTTTTGATTTTGACGTTTAGTAATTAAATTATATTTTATTGAAATTATATTGTTTTATATTATTTTCACATTTGTTATATTCTCTAACAACAGGGTTTGAGAACTAGGACCTTTGCTCTTTCATATTTAGATTTAATGATGTTGATGGGGGCATATAATAAATAAAATTAGAAAATTTGCTGAAGAAATTAACACTTCAGTATTTCTGACTGTAGAGAAAGATCCTAGAGTTCCTATAAACAACATTAATAAATTTTTATCAAGGACAGCCTTGAAGAGCCATGTGTCCCCTTGTTGTCCATGTGTTGTGTTATTGAGTTTCTTGTAAAGATATTATGGAGGTCACATTTATGAAGAATTCTGCATTATATGTACAGGAAATTGCTGTAAAACTAAAAAAAAGCAACAGCAGTGCAATACTTAAATGCAGATCTATGTAACAAGACCTGCTGGTTCAATTACCAAGTATTTTCCATTTAGTACAACATGAAAAATATTTCTGTGCTTTAAGCATCCTAAAAAAATATAAGCTTTGGATGCATATATCCAAAAACAATAGGAGTTCAGTAACAAGATGCAGTGGCCAATAGAGATAATTTGAGCTTTTCATTAACCCTTTTGAGACAAGTAACGGGTGAAAGATTATGTTATCTCCTTTGTTAACTCGCATTCAAAATTTTAGTGAACTACTATTTCATGAATTTACGTCAATAACTTTGGTATCAAACTTTAGAGTATAATTCAAATTGCAGAACTATACATTATTCAATTTCTTAATATAAAAGTAAATATAAAAAAAACACAGATAACAACGATTTTTGTGTGTCACGTGATATGTTGAATGCAGCACTGGTTCAAATTAGATGATTGTGAAGTCAAAATACTAAATCTATAGTTTCATACAAATTAAAACTCTAATTACAGATATTGACAAGCTAGAATATAAAATAAGAAGGTCTTATGTTTTCTATTTGCTAAGATATTGCTCATGTAGTAAATCAAAGACAGTAGCAACCTGCCCACCTCTTTTCATTTTTGGAAATACTCCCTCATATACACTTACTTCTATATATATCACATGAATAACCAATGAGAAGCGCAGAATGTCCTCCTGGGCACCATTTTTTTCTTTTGAACCAATATTTCAATGAGGTAGGGTGTGTCTTTAGTCTGCTCAAAATTTCATATTTCTTTAGACTAAAATACATATTAGTTACTAAGCTTGATAAATTATGGTGGAATTGTGGAATTCTATGGTATTAATGTAGTAATTTATGATTTTTTCATTGTTGAAATGTATATATAAAACCTAAAAAAATATTTTGTTTCATATCCTCCATGTGCAAATTTTTTTAAAGGCTTAGCAACCTACATCAAGCAGCAACTAAGTACAAAGGTCGTAACTAGAAGAGATAATTGTTTGCTTTACTTTTTTAGCAACTGTTCTATGTTTTAAGAAAAATAAGTTAAAGAAATTATTTCAAAATAGCAATAATCTATATACATATATGATGTATAATAATTGAAATGTGACTGTATTTTACAAAATACTAGTCTATAAGACAAAGCCAAGACAACTTACTTTGTACAGACCAAAGGTCAGTTCTATGTTATTTGATACAGTAACATGAGTGCACACGAGCTGTGTCATTGTAACTTCTGTATTGTTAGCCAGGCACGGCTGAAATAAATGTATAAGGTTATGAGATTTAAACTATTTAATCTAAACGTATGTTTTCGTGTTATAATTTGTGTTCATTCTAGAATGAAAGAGGCATAATTTGCATTTATTTCCTAATTTTTTATGGTGGTTGTGAGATCGGTCAAATCCAACAAACCTGTACAGATATTCATTACTGAAAATAACAGGTAAAATATAAAGTTTTTTCTTAAGAAACATTTGATACCTATGGATATTATTAAGGTTTCACATGTGAAATTTCAAAATTTTCTGATGTATAAGTAAATTTTTAATCTTAAAATGAATATTACTTTGCATGATAGATAGGCAACATACGAAAAGAAAAAAGACATGAGAAAAACATTGCTTTACTAACCTTTAAACTTAATACAAAAAAATGATAATTTGCATATGAAAGCATTCTAATGTTTACTGATATCCTGCCAAATTTCATTAACCTTTGCTTACTGATTTAAAAGTTATAGCATGAAAACTATAACAAGCACAAAATGGTTACGAGGTCGGTCCCAGGGACTGAGTTTGTGCTGAAAGAGTTAAACCATATACACCAATTCAGAATTTAAAGTATTGTCACCCCAATAAAACTGGATTTTCTGTTACGTATTCCATATTGGGTTTCAAACAACATTTTTAGGTTAACCTATAATAATCAAAATTTTGTTATTACAGAATATATTAACATCGTTTTAATATTTATTTAGGTTAATTTATGACAACATGGTTGACATTGATTAATCTAAAATTTTAGATTATTATAATTTAGGTCTCTCTTTCTTCCTGTAAAAAATACTGAACATTTGATTATAACTTATTATGTTACACAACATAATTTAAAGAAGTTAATGTGTATCCTAACATCATTTTAAAAATAAAACATTATAGTGGCTGGCATGGATAAATGAACAGTATTATTATTAGTGCAATACTGTAGTTTTGACCTGGTGTGTAGGACACTCAACTTGCAATCTGTAAGTTGAGAGATCCAAATTTGTCATAACCCAAGGTTGCTCTTTCAGACTTGGGGGTATTATAATGTAATTGTCAAATAATCTGTTTGTTTTTTAAAGAGTTGGCAGTTGGCACTGCTGGTAGATTATCTTCCCTTTGATTGGTAATTCAAAATTATTCAGATAGTCTTAGTTTTGTCATAAACACTTTCTAGTTTTATTATTCATTTTCTAATGTTTTTCTAACTTTGTAATTTGTAATGAATTTTAAAAGTTTCATTTTACAAAATAATTCAATGTTATTCAAAATTTGTGTTTTTTGTTAGGCTACTTGAAAGATATGCAAAATACGAGGTTTTTGCTTTAGCTACGTATATATGCATGTCTAATACATAAAATGAGTTATGGCTTAAATGCCAAAGATAGCAAAGTATTAGAAATCAATAGGCTTAAAATTTGTGATAAAATCACATAAACTGCAATGTATTTTTTCCCTATATTCCTCATAGATTGTTCATTTGTGGTTTAAAATGGGAGGTGTGTAAAAATAGCATTTCAAGAGTTATGACAATTCATTTTCCTTGGTTGGTCACAAAATGTTGTTTAACCCTTTATCTTCCTAATGTAATTTTCCAAGATATTAAAGATCATAATGCAAAAAAACTAAATTTATCAAAAGTAACAGGCTTTATGTTTCTTAAACTACATTCATTTATGAAAGTTCTTCTGAAGTTTTAAACAATTTCATCCACTAGTTTTATTATTGGAATGAAATATAGCAAGACTTGCATTGCCTACTAAGAAAGTTAGTAGCTGGTAGTCATCGGGTTAAGATACAACACTTAAGGCTACAGATGTTTGTGAATTGTCAGGACAAGTATACACAGTATTGTTGCCAAAAGTGACTGATAAGTAAACAAGTTTTGTATTGTTTCTCACAACAATGCATAAGCTTAAGGTATAGTTATACAGATATCCAGTATCCCATACACCACTGCCCATGTGCTTGGTTTACCTTGTAGCATTTGAAACCCAATATGGCATAAGTAATAAGAAAACCAATAGTCTAATCATCTAATATTAGTTTTATTGTGGTGACAACACTGATTAAATTTTGTATCATCTGTACTGACCAGTTTGTACCTTCTTACCAAAATCTTGTGGTTTCTTGAGATAAATATTCTTGGCTT